TTGGGTTTGCTGTTTGCTCAGTAGTTTCTATCTCTGTGGCCAGCCTGCCAGATGCAGATTTGATGAGATGAAAGGAGTTACAGGGTGGAGATATGACAACCCCTGAACGTGGCTGTAGCCCTCATGGTAGTAGTGTGCAGGTAGTGACTACCACTTTACACAAAGACCCTTCACAGCTATGTTGGACTTTGTCTGTGATATCAACATTAGTTTATTCCATTCACACTTCCTTTCATGAAAACTTTACCTGCAAACTGCTTAGCAGAGGTTTCTACGTCACTCTGATACTTAGCACATAAATATTTTGAGATGCTATTAATTACCTTGTTAGAGATGCTGCAGTGTGTGACCAGAAATTCTGGGATATTTTCTTTGGTGTTATTTGAAAACACAATACAGGACAAAGCTCCAACTGGATTTTCCTGTGTTGTCTGACCTAAAAGATTACTTTCTATTGTTTAATCCTTCCTGAATCATAATTACAGTTGTAAAATGACATGTCATTCTCACAAGCAGAGAATGACTGGATTGAGATGGAGCACAGAGTGTCGTGCACTCACAGAGCTTTGCAGTCATTTGCTGCTACGTTCATAGAGACAACACTGAAGGGAAGTAGGAGAAAAATAGAACTGGTACTGCTGTGTTTCTCCTGCAGATGGGAAATCAATAACATATTTTTGATGAAAGGTGGTAGCTGCAATTCATGTTTGTAAATGCAATGTGTCAAAAATCTCTGTAGCGTTAACAAAAAATGTTCATGAACTACTTTGGAAAAAGTTATTTTCTCTCATTCATCTGTAAAACACATTATGTCCCTTCCACTGCAGAACACATGACACAAGCAGAGTAGCCAACAGGGGAATGGGAAACATTGTGCAGAGCCAGCACCAAATGGTCTTGCACTTAGACCTCACTGGAAAATGCAAAGTTCTCTGATAACATATTTGATGACTATTTAAGTAAATTACAAAAGTCACTGTCTCTGGCTGTGGGTCAATATGAATTGCCACTAGAAGTTAGAACCTATTGTAATTGTGCAAGACTTCACTACTGGTACTGCTACTAGAGAAGGAGCAAATATACAGTCAATAATTTGTTTTGGTTTGCTAAATATTTCATTTAATAAATCTACTTTTTCTCCCATCTGAAAACAGTAATGAGAATACTGCAGTTACCATTTCTTCCAGCTTTAATTGTCTGGACAGTGGTGTTGCTATGCACATGAATTAAAATCTTCATAACATAGACATTAAATCACTAACACAAGTATGTGAATGACCAGGTAAGGAAAGGAAAATATCAAAGTACACAAAAAAGTGTAAGACTGCAGAAACCAGACCATAAAACTAAAGGAAATTTTAACACTTTTTTTGTGTTCTCAGGCTTCAAAGGCTTCTTCATTTCTCAGAGAAGCTCCATTCTCTGTTATTACACCTCAAGAACAGAGAGCGTGTATAATCTGAACAATGTGCAATATTGATGGTTAGAATTTTTGAGCAGGTTTAAATTTAGGCAAGACTCACTCATTATCTCACTTCATTACCTTTTCTTGTGCTCTTTTTTAATTGCACTGTTGACTAATTGCATTAAACACCATTGTCTGTAGAGGTTTCCTACAGAATTATATGCATTTGACCTAACAAGTATTCATCTTAGGTCTAAGTATGATCAGGTAGTAAGTAAGCAAAATTCAAGCTTGCTTTTGATGATCTAGATTGTGTACTACCTAGCTGAAAGGAGTAAATGACTTCCATTTATCCTGGAAGTAGTACAGGATTCTCAAAAAGGCAGTTCAGTTCTAGAGAAATATTGCATTTTCATCTACTTGGTTCTGTTACCATCAGAAAACTGCAGCTTTCCAGTGTCCTCTGAGCTTCTCTACCTCTCCTCCTCTTGTTTGTGGAGGATGAGAAAGAACAGGACCTGTCTGCCTGGGCATGCTGTGTTCACCAAAGCCTGGCAAAGATTTTTAGTCATTCCAGTTAGGCGACAGTAGCTCAGTCTCTGTAATCAGGCAAACCTTAGGTAACACTATTACCAAAATAGGGGCAAGTAAGGTTAATTAAAAGGCCTACTTTCCTAAGAAAAGTAGCTTTACATAGAAAGTAAAGTGTTTATTTATCTTGAGAGTGTGTGCCAGGAGAGGCAAACAACAGCAACTAAAGGTTTGTACAAAATTGCCTTAGCTATTCGAGTGCTTGGCTCCTGATTATGCTATGGCAATATCTTCATCCAGTCTTGAAGAACAAATCTTTGGTCTCATACAGCAAAAGATATTATATATACCAACATTTGCCCTACAGTGGTATTTTTTGAGTATAATTATTTGGGAATGCTCTAAGGTTAGCACTGCTGTGCTGTAGCTGTTGGTTGAGGGCACATGTAGCAGCCATAGCAATCCCAGCCTCAACTAACACTCCGTGTGTGTCTCAGCAGAGAGATTTGCAGTGGAAGAACTTGTTTCAATCAGAGTTAAAAGAGAAGTTTCTATCTTCTGCATTAGTTTGTCTTTAATGAAGGAGACATTGAGACATTACAGTTTGACCTAAAGAAAGAAAAGATAGAGGTGGCACTGATTAATCTTACTGTCATAAAGTGGTTGTTCCTGCTAACAAAGGAGAGGACACTATGTTCTCCCTCAATATAGTCTGTCCTTTATAACCTTCAGAGAAAAAATAGCTAAATACAAAAATCAGAAATTGTATGGTTTACTTATATCCCTTCAGTATTTATATTTCTCAAAGGGAAGGCAAAGGATGATAACTGAGAACATTGTCTGATAAAGCAGCTTGGTTAACGGTCTGTGGTATTACACTCTTTGTGGTTATCACCAAATTGCAAAAAGCAATATCTAAGCTTAACTGGAAAAACAAGAAAGCCAGAGAAAACAGTGTATTGTTTTCTGAGATGAAACAATTTCAGTCACCCTTGGAGGCTAAAAAGTTAACATTTCCTTGCAGTGCTACAAATATTTCTCAATTGCCCCCAAGTGTACTATGCTAGTGAATATTATCAAGCCTAATAACTTTCACAACTGATTTTGAACATTAGTAGAACTAATAAAGTTGGATCTTACTTTATCATGGTATATTGCCTTTGAAAGCACATATAAACCTACAAAATTTAACTATTAAGCTAGTCTTATGATTAAACTATCTTGAGCTAACACTCAATGGATACAAATAAGTGCAGTTACCAAGCAAAGTTGCATATACAAATGCTTCACAGTGTGCCTCGCATCTACAAGTCGTCATTCATTTTCTGTTACATTCATTTTTTAGAGTCAGAAATTTTTAGATATGCTAACTTATAAATTAAACCTTTTTCACTTCTGTTGTTTTTTATCTTCTGTCCCTGACTGGATGTCTACAGATTCAAACCAGTATGGGAGAGGATTTAGGTTATGATGGCCACATTAACTACAGCTTTACCCAAATGTGCTTTCCCTTCCTGCATTAGCATTTTATACATTAAAAGCTTATGGTTTCATTAAAATGTTATCTACTACTTGCTTTAAATACATCATTTTAGAAAAGCAAACAGAAGAATTTGTGAATGCATTTTCCAAACTGGAGAGATTTTTAGCAAGGACACATGAGTTTGTCTTGCAAAGACCCCATGTGGTATATACAGACTATAGCAAGGACACATGAGTTTGTCTTGCAGAGACCCATGTGGTATATACAGACTCTCTGGGGTCAATACCCAAGCCTTGCCTATGATTATCTGTGCTAGCACTTTTTCTAGTGATTCATTTTCCATGCTTGTTTAGTCTAAAGCTTCCCACAGGAGCAGACTGCTGGCTGGACTCGTTCAAAGATAGTGGCTATCATGGCTATAATTTAAAAGTTAATTGTTTGTGACATACACAGATTAAATAAATAGGACTGTGTAGTTCTTGAGCATTGAAATGGTCTTAATTCCCAGAATGAAAAATGTAGACTGACTTCTCTTAGAAACCACACAGGATAGATGCAGTAAGTTTCATTTAATGACAGATGAGAATTCATCATCTCTCTGTATTTGACTGTCTGTGCAGGCAGTGGCTGAAGACTTTTACAAGGTAGACAGTAATTCCGTATTTAGTCCTCAGAGTCACTTCAAAGAAGCTGATTTAAAAGCCATGTGCTAATATTGATGTTAAACTATCCTCATGGAGCACAAATTGTCACTGCTCTTCCCTCTTTAAATATTATACAGAGTATTGCTTCTCTTTATCCTAGGGATATGGGAAAGGCAAACTGTCACTAAGTACTAACCAGAGTTACCAGCTGTAGGATGCACTGTCATCCATTTAAGTAGTTTTATGAATCAGGTTTTACTGAGCTACTCAGGACAGCACCAGTACTCACAACAGTGCTGTTGAATACTGCAACACCTGACTTTGGCTCTTACTCTGCCACTCCTGGCTCAAGTAGTTCCCCAGCCTCAGTTACACAGAAGAGGATGCTGGCAAAGTTACCAGTTTGCTGATACTGCCAAACCATTCTTCTCAACGAAGGAAGGCAGACTAAGACGTGAGGAAAAACCAGCTCAGTATTCAGAAGCCTTGTCCATCCACAGTGCCAGTAGGTGGGAATTTTTTTCAGGTATAGCAGATGGGGAATGCTTCTTAGGGTGGAAAAATCAAACCAAATCTCAAGTTTTCAGCTCCTTTTTCAAAATGTGTTAGGCTGCAGAGCCCTTCTGCTGCTGTATTTGTCAGCAGGGAGAGAGGACTGCACTCTTACACAATGATTTTGATGGGTTTTTTTCTTGTATTTAAAAGGCTTTATCTCATCCTTCCAGTTTTTGGCAGGCAGCAAGGCAGCAACTTGCTGTTCGAGCTCATTTCTTTTGTAATTATCCTAAATGTTAGACCACTCGACAGTGATTCTTCTTATGAGATACATTAATCATTTATTGTATTAGAGATACATTCTGCTAATCTAATCATAATAAAAAACTAATCATAATATCGGAGAATACCACAGTAACACTGATCATGTCTATTGTGTTAGACCACTGTGTCTTGGGATGGAGATAAACTCCTTTGTGTACAGAATGGAGAAAAAGAAGGTCGTGGTTGGACCCAGTGGATTGAAGGAGATGAAATGCACCTGGTAAGATCATGCCAGAGGTTTTAAATGCCACTCTATTAAAATGGTTGGATGTATCACAGCAGGGGATGTGCTGTGTTGTTCTGGCTTGTTTGGACATAGTTATGTATTGGTGCAGCATTTGACTTGTTTCTAAAGCAACAATTTCATTTGTAGCCGTTATGCTTTTATGTCCCTTACAAAGACTGATGATTTCTCTTTCTGTGTTATATGTCTGTCCAGACATAGCAGGCTGAAATGTTTACACTGAGGAAGGCATTTAACAGGATGTCCCTCATACAGTCTCCAAAATGCACAGTATGGGAGCTGGTGAAATTGCACACCCAACAATAAGGGGAAAATAAAGCATTGTTCTTTTAAAATAATTACAGGCCACTCTGCATTGTAGCCTAGAGAACTAAAACAGCAATTAAGTTTTTGAAATGTCATGTCCTTTCAGGTCATCGGTTTTATCTTTCTAAATTAACAGGACCTGAAAGAAAATGCCTATTCTTTTCTCCTATAACTCTTTATGGTATCCTCACTCTCCCATC